GCATCGACAATGTCGAAGTCATCATCATCATAGCCATGGCTTGCCATTGCTTGGGCTCTACCTGGAGCTCACCCTCAATGAGGGATCACTGCTCCGCTACCACTTGAAGAGGGGCCCTAGCGTCTACTTCAAGATCAGCTAAGGCGTCTTCCCCAATGACAGCACTCTTTTACTCTCAGCCTGTTGCCGGTCAGTGCTTGTCTACAGGGTTACACTATATACCTCTTTCTTGAGCCTTGAAGGGCGCATATAAATGTGCTCAATACTCATGCATGTACCTATGTAGGTATTAGGTCGAAACAAAAACAAGGGCGCAGCGCCTCCCCCCAAAGCAGAATGCAAGCACCTCTTCTCACATGTTACGTTGCTAGTTTTCAAGAGAAGGTTGGTCATGTGATACTCAGGGATGTAAATACTGTGCAAAATGCATCTTACATGGAAATCAAGTATTTAAAGCAGGCAAAGCAAAAAAAAAAAGCAGAGAAGCAAAAAAGCAGAGAAGCAAAGAAACAGGAAACGCGCAAAAGCAAAACAGCAGAAAGGCAAAGAAGCAGGAAAAGCAGAAAAGCAGAGAAGCAGGAAAAGCAGGAAAAGCAGAGAAGCAAAGAAACAGGAAAAACAGAAAAGCAAAAAAGCAGAAAAGCAGAGAAGCAGAGAAGCAGGAGAAGCAGAAAAGCAAAAAAGCAGGAAAGCAGAGAAGCAGAGAAGCAGAGAAGCAGGAGAAGCAGAAAAGCAAAAAAGCAGAAAAGTAGAGAAGCAGGAAAAGCAGGAAAAGCAGGAAAAGCAGGAAAAGCAGGAAAAGCAGGAAAAGCAGGAAAAGCAGGAAAAGCAGGAAAGCAGAGAAGCAGGAAAAGCAGGAAAAGCAGAGAAGCAGGAATCCAAAAATAATTCCTAAACCTGATCAAAAAAAAATCCTAAAATAATTAGCCCTCCCCCTTTAAATGGTAAAGTACCTCATTTGAATGCTCGAAATAATTCAGCTATGCCCCTCTAACCATGCTCTTCACACAATCGACCGAATAGTCCCGCACTTTGATGTACATCCCAGCTAGAACCTGGATATGCAACTAGATATAGGTCACAAATATGCCATGATGCACACTTCTCTAAAGTTGTTGGTCATCCATATCATTACATATAGAAATACATAGAAATACATAGGAATACATACATATATACATGTTGCATATACAATATATATATATATATATTCTATGGTGGCTTCAGTGGTTTCCTAAAATAGCCGTCACCTTGGAGGCGCCCAGCTGTCCGCTGGAGGGGTAGAAGGACGAGGCCATGGAGGTGGCCGAGGCGGCCACGCCTCGCTTCCCATGGAGGAAACATCGAAGAAAAATGGTCCAAAAATGGTACCCTCTGGTTATTTAACGTAGCCATAGAAAATCATCATTATTAATAGGTAAACCATTGGTAAACCATCTATAAATGGGTCATTTTCAGGGTCTATGTTTATTTACCAGAGGGTAAAAACTATGGAGAAATGGAGGAAAACTATGGACACAAATATGAACAAATGGTGAGATTCTCAGGAATTTTCGCATGGATTTTGGATTTTCTTTTGTGATGAACATGGGGCAATTTTGCTGAGAAATGGTGAGATTTCAAGGATTTCAACGGGAATTGCTGGTGGAATATGAAAATGCACAGGAATGAACTATATAGTGGTTAGATGTGGTTAGTACCTGTTAATACCCTCTAGCAGTTTGCCCCAAAGGGTATATCATGTATAGTAAACTCCAAATGGATCGAAATCCAAGAAAACATGGATATATATAATTGATATAATTGATATAATCATGGTGAGATTATCAGGAATAATCACGGAATATAAAATTACTTTACTTCGTGTGATCCCCACCATGACATTTATACATGTTCTTACTGGCACATCTTCTGGCATTCTATCTGACATATCTTATGCATTTCTATTTGGCATTCTATCTGGCAAATCTTCTGGCATTCTATCTGACATATCTTCTGGCATATCTTCTGGCATATCTTCTGGCATTCTATCTGGCAAATCTGATGCATTCTATCTGGCATATCTTCTGGCATTCTATCTGACATATCTTCTGGCATTCTATCTGGCATATCTTCTGGCATATATTCTGACATATCTTCTGGCATTCTATCTGACATATCTTCTGGCATATCTTCTGGCATATCTTCTGGCATATCTTCTGACATATCTATCTGGCATATCTTCTGGCATATTTTCCGGCATTCTATCTGGCAAATCTTCTGGCATTCTATCTGACATATCTTCTGACATTCTATTTGACATTCTATCTGTCATATCTTCTGGCATATGATCTGGCATATCTTCTGGCATATCTTCTGGCATTCTATCTGGCAAATCTTCTGGCATTCTATCGAACGATTTTTATCTTCCTACATGATGTCCGGCAGGGAACACTTGGCGTGGATACTGGCGGTTGAGGTCCGGCAGGGAACACTGGGCGCGGATGGTCGCGGTTGAGGTCCGGCAGGGGAACACTGGGCGCGGATGGTTGTGGTTGAGGTCCGGCAGGGAACACTGGGCGTGGATGGTCGTGGTTGAGGTCCGGCAGGGAACACTGTTGGATCGCGGGTCGCAGTTGGACGAGGACGACGAGGACGACGAGGACGACAAGGACGACAAGGATGACAAGGAGGACGAGGAGGACGAGGAGGAGAGGAGGAGGAGGAGAGGAGGACGAGGCAGGAGGAGGAGGCAACTGACATAAAATCTAACAACCCTCACCTGGCAGGTGGGGAAATATATAAAAATATATAAAAATGAACTACTATATATATATATATATATCTATATAATTATCATGTGTATAGTAAGCTCCAAAAATAGGAACGGTTACCCAGCTGAAGTTTTAGGAACATTTTAAATGTCAATCTTTTTGCTGGGGCTGTTACAATGGTTATTAGTTGGACCCATCACCAAGTGACACAATATGGACGTGATGAAGACATTCGACCGATAAGTGGTGAGAAAGTGGTGAGAAAGTGGGAGTCATCCATTGCCGAAACATCCCTCTGGCTGAGGCTCAGGGGATCAATCAGGACACATCAGGACACCAGATATGAATTGGTGCCTTCACATGCACCCAGAACATTGCTCCGCCAGGGTCCTGTTGCCATCCTCCCAAGGGATGCTTCCAGGCGGCTGGCTGCATCCTCCACATCATCGAAGTTGTTCAAGGCACCAGCGGCATAGAAGGAGCCAGTCATGCATGGCTCGGCCACACATCGCTGATCGCTGGAGTATTGGGGTGGCCCATGATGGCAAAGATCCATGGAGTGGGTTGAACAGAAGATTTCGGGCCACTGGAGTTTTTGATGGTAATTATCCTACTTTGGAACAAAATCACAAAAGTGGAAGGATGAGTCTGAAGAACTGCAGAGGCAAACTAAAGAAGAATCCGTCTATTGCCAATGTTTGGATAGTTGACATGTACACGCCTTGCTCAGCTGGTGTCACATCATGCGCGGCCACAAGTTTTACTGAGGCTATCGTTGAGGGACTGAGTAAAGGTGTTATATGGTGTTATCAAACTGGCACAGATTGTTCGCCCAAATCCACAGGCTCATGAGCCCAACATGAATCTATGTCTGAGCAAAACATCTGCAGTCCACGGGCTCATGAAAGGCTTCCTCAGCTTCCAAACACGGCAGCCGTAGAAATGGAACGGAGGCTGACTTGACGCCCCCAACCCAAGCTGCAAAGTGTTTGGGTGCAGGAGTCAGTGGCACCGATTTCCGAAATACACTGGCAGCAAACCCTGGAAGCTGCAACCATGGCCATGTTGCCTTTGAAGTTTTGCTGCCTGAATAGTCAACTATCAGGTAGAGAAAAAACATCGGAATTTCGAGTGTCCACTGTGAAATCATATGTTGTTTTTTTCAAGGAAAGACTTATCTGATCTACCTTTCTGGTAAAGGACATGGATATGACATCGGTCTGATCCACCGCTTCATGTTCTCCTGTATCAGTGGTCACAAACTGAAGAAATCCCCCACTTTGAGTCTACCCAACCAGGGCCAAACATGGGCACAATATTTCCTCAAAATGGGTTCGATTTGTGAACGTTTAGTGATTCGTGACGAAGCATGATGGAGCTATATAGCCACGCCAACACATGTGGAAGTCAATTGGTTTCGCCATCCTATTTGTAGGATTTTGGGGGATGACATCATCAACTCTCTCACCGTTCCCTCAGCCCCTTCCAACCTACCCGCAGTGCCAGTCCTTTCGTCGATTTGTGACTGCGTACGTCGCAGGATGTCCAATCTTGCCGCCACCTGCACAACATCTCAATGATATATTTCCCTGTTTCAAAGCTGTTTCAAACCCCTGAAAAGTGCGGTTTACCGGCACCTTGACTTCTGGCAAAATGTTGTAGACCATCGTAAACATCAAAATCAGTAAACTCCCAAAAGATAGTTCGGAGTACTGGGCTCAGTATTCCTGGAACAGTTCACGTACGTAGAAAAGAAAAGATTGGGTTTACATAATGCAGAAGTAAGTAAGCCAATCGTCCTTTTGAAAAATCTTTTGATCCATTCCTCAATTAGATCTTGAAAACTGGGAGACATGTCACTTGGAATCGAAATGTTTAACCATATTCAGAGGACTTTCCAACAAACATTTTTTCAAGTGACTTCATTTCTGTTTTCTTACACAAATTTTGGTTCCTGTATATATATATATATGTATTGAGTAATATATTGAATATCTTGTTCACAGCTATGAATGAACTGTTTCACCCAGTAACATCTAAAAAAAAACTTCACCCAGTTCCCACCCCAGACCAAAGACATGTATTTCTTCTTGGCGAGGTTTCCCCAAAGGATCTGTCTGGTCAAACTGCATCAGGCAAGAGTTGCCATTCGAAAGATAAACAAAAATAGAACAGTTGAAAACGAGTCAAAACTTGCCATAGTCAAACTAGTCAAAGACATTGAGGCATGACCAGAAAATATAGTCATCAATCATCAACTGTCATTGGAATACACATCACTCTGGCCTCATCCGCTTGTAGGGCTGGAACACCAAGGACTTCGATGCAGAAATCCTCCAGATGACCCGGCAGAAGGCCCTGTGGCGAGCAGACGGGGGTCGCAAGGCTGGCAAATGGTTCCCCAATGCTCAGCGCCCATTTGATATCATTTCATGAGTTTCAATGCATGCACTGTCAGCATCATATTTTTTTTCTCTCCTTCTCTCTCTCTCTCTCTCTGTTGTTTCTGTTGTCCTTAGCCATGATCATGGTCATTAGTTTCATTCTCATCATTGTTAGTTTTACACATGATTGATTCTACATGTGCCTGCATCGATCTGATCATCCATCTCTTGTCATACTATGGTTCTATGGTTGTTGAAAATGTTTGTAATTATATGTCCTTTCTCTCACTATATTGTCATTATCATGTTTGCTTACAATTATTTGTATATATATATTATGTTATACTCTCCGGTTATTTGACATTGCAAGGGACAATTTCCCCATATAGCTATTTTACGATGATTTACCACTAAAAAAACATGATTTCCCTAAAGTATGTTAAATAACCAGACGGCACTGCCATTGCCGAACAGCCTCCAGTGAGGCGCAGCCAACTTCATCAGCACGCGGAACGTCATACCACCTGCTGGAACTTCGGCGAACCCTCATGGTTGATGGGGAGATATAGAGCCAGTATAATGCTCACTTAACATCACATGCTTCTAAATAATATAATATCATATTAGTACCGATAAGATATGACATGAACTGAAATCATTTCACATATGGTACATTATCAACTACTATCATATGCCATCTAATACCATATATATATATAATCAATACCATATACTAGCATGCGGTATAATGTGTCTATTAAAAAAATGTGTTCTCTGCATCTTGTGATGATGTCTGGTGGCGCCAGTCGCCAGTGTCCAATTCGCGATTCAGCAGGCATCAAAATATATGTCATGTCATAATTATCATCAAATGAAGTTAGATGTCTATACTCCGTTATATGGAAATTGCAAAACTGAAGAAAGTAGTCGCGAAGTCAAGAGAGTACAGATTTGAAGAGAGTAAAGAAGCGAAGATAGTAGAGAAGTGAAGTACTTATGGAAGTGAAGAGAGTATAGAGAAGTGAAGAAAGTATAGGGATGTGAAGAGAGTAGAAATGTTAAGACAGGGAAGTGAAGAGGGTAGAGATGTGAAGAGTGTAGGTATGTGAAGAGTCTGAGTCTTGGCTGACGTAGTTGCATTGTGATTTGCAAGGCCGTGATTGGACGCGTCACCTGGACGAAGCAATTCCACTGCTATCTGCAATCACCGCCTTGCAAATCACAATAGAAATGCGTCAACCAAGGCTGCAAACACGAACATGAAGCAGCCATTCCAATGCAATCTGTATACACGCGTGAATTCAGCTTTACAGAGGACACGTCCGAGATGAAAACGAACGAAGACCGCACCCGTCGCGACATTTTGGCTCTAATGATTTTGATCCAAGTCTTTCTATAAAAAATGCATCGACAATATTTTTTTCTGCTTTGGCGCCGAGCTCTGGTTTTGGAGCTGCAATTCCGGTGCTGTGTGCGTGAAAGCTTCTCCTTGCAAAAAGCTTCTTTCTGTAAAAGCTTGCTGTTATAACCACCACCACCACGGATGGTAGGTCGACGCGGTGGTCGCCTACTAATAAGAGAGCAGGGAAAGAAGTTTGTCATGAGAGAAGAGTGTGTCAGGTCTCGGGCTCCAGAGCTGTCAACAGTAAGGACTGTCAAGATTCAGAGATGACAAGCACAAACCGGATCGAGAGAAAAGGAAGTCGAGAGACGTCGAGAGAAAGAAATGCCAGGAAGAAAGATGCGTCCAAACAAACAGCGAGCAACAGAAAGGGCTGTCAAGATTCAAAGATGTCAAGGGCAAACCGGATTACTCGAGAGTGGCATCATCAGACAAGGATGTCAAGAGAGAGAGGGATATATCGAGGATTCCGAGAGATGACGCTGTTGACAGCCGTGACAACCAGGCGGTCAGGCCCCCGTCTGGAAACTTCCATCACATGGGCCCAAAAAAGGAAGAAGGCTAGTACGAGTACTATAGTAGTACTAACACAGAGTTTTTGCTTCAGGGTATAGGTTCAAGGTTATTTCACCAAGCTTTGCAACCGACGAGCATCGAACTGCAGTGTTTCAGGGTTCCAGGATTCCGTTCCGGTTTTGGGCTCGGCGAGCAAAAAAGAATCACCGTTCTCGGCCCCAGAAACCGAACCCCAACATGCAATGCTGTTGGAAAAAGCCAGTGCTTATATAAAGATAAACCTATGAGCAAGAAGAGGTTGAAGGTCATGATATCATATGATATCCATGAATGAACGGCAAATCTACACATGCGTCACTACGCTCACTCTTTGGAAGAATCGCCCTGCTGTGGCGGTGCTCATATAGCATCGCCTTCAGACTGATATCCGGGACTGTTACGGCAAGCCGAAGTTGGGGCACCCAACATGCAATCCACACTTCGTCGCCAGTTCTTCTTCTTCAAGACTTTTGGCTTTGCCTCTCACTCTTGGATGGATTCACACTGACTTGATATCTTAGTGCGAACTTCTGTGATTCACACTGGGCACTGTACCATATACAGTAAACCCGTATTTTGTAGGTATATTCGCTAACATAGCCCTTGCATAGGCCTTATGTATGGTAGATACCTCCAACTTAGATCAATTGAGGTATCTGAAATGGCCACTGATCTCATACAGGTTGCTTGATGATTGACAATATCTACATTCAGCAGCGATTTCCGGAAGGTTGTATGGCTTCGTGTTTCTTTTGGTGATCTGTGAGAATAATTATCATGGGAACCACCACAGAAGCCAATCATGCTAGGGGAAAACAATGGATGGCTTAAGTTTCAAAGACCAACCAGCAGTTCAGAAAAAAAACAACAAACAGATTCACCATGACCCTTCACAACAAAAAGAACGCTTAACAAACAATCGCGCACGGAATTGTCTTAACATTTAAACATTTCAAGAACAACTCATCAAAGCACGGCAAATATGATGTTAATGTTCACTGGTTTCCTTCGGGAACACTCAGCACCAACCACCCAGAACCATGGCTATCAGCCAGCCTCGGCCATGGATGGGATCAGCAGCAGTGGCTCCTGGCGAGATACCAAATACCAGTGGTGGATGATGATGATGATGATGATGATGATGATGATGAACACTGTCACAACCAGTATAGTAAGTCCATGTAATTCATATGTCACTAGTCTTATCGCTTGTCTGTCTATATAATTCATCCTAGTCTTCAAAATGTGTTTTGTTTCGTTTCTTTCTTCCTCTCCGCTCTCATCCCCTTCAGCATCGAAACTTGACATATTCCAGGCAAATTCACTTCAACGTTTGCACCTCCTGAAAGTGAACCATTAGGTCAATGTCCGACATGTCCATGCCATAAACCTCCAAGCACAACGGACGTGTTCCCTCGGCCATGGGGATTCACTAGCCAAAGGATGGTGCAATGATGACCCGGGTGGTGGTAATTGGCAGCCTATGCAACGTTTCCAAGTGTCCATGTGCTTTGTTGTTTTACCTTCTGGTTATTTAACTTTGGCCCATTTACCGATGATTTACGATAATTTGCCTAGTAAACATAATCTAATCATATTGTGATTTTCCAGTTCGACATTGTAAATTACCAGAGGGATCCCCCATCGAATTTCAGAGGAGATGTTGTTCTGTATATAACAACAATTATTCACAAGCTTGGGGCTATAGAATGAGGTCGCTGAGCTCCATTTTTTCCCAAAATGGCCTTAGCTACAAAATGCCCCTTCGTTTCAACAACCTTGACATAGGGGAAATTTCCCTTGTTACACAATGCCACTTCGTTTTCAACAACTTCACATCCAAGGACATACCCTTTGCTACAAAATGCTTTGATTTTGATAAGCTCTGATGAAGCTCATCATGTCATGCTACAAAATGCCACTGCGATTTTAATGATGGGCTAACATGATTAAAATGATTCCTTTCTAAAATGACATTGACACGTTTAAGCTACAAAATCTTGGACCTGGGTTTCATGCCACGGTTAGCCTGACTAAAATGGAAGCCCCTGCAAGAGGCACAAGGCCACAAACTTTGTAGCTTAAATTTGTAAGGGGATCCAGAGGGAATATACCATTTTAGATTCATGGCACCCAAGTCTTGCAACTACACCTCTGGGAGATGCTGGACTTGATCATGGAAGAATGCAAGGCTAGACTGTCTAAAAGAACGAAGCAATCTAATCTCCGAAAACTCAGGATTCTGTGACAAGGCCTAAGCTCTTGGATATTTGGATGCTTTTTTCACATGGATCTCCTCTATCTGTTCCATCAAGATTCCGGGACCTCTTCCAGACTCGCATAGGCGGCACATGCCAAGGAGAAATCCCTCGAGGACTCCTGGATTTTGCGACGCTCGTCCCAGTGGGTTGGATCACTCCAGTTATAGGTCAGGTTATGTAATACATATATATATATAATATAATAAAATAAAATAACATATAATATATACATATATATATATATTAACTATACACTATACGCTACTAGTAGGGGCGATAAGGTCTCCGATACGTCATGTTTGTTGGTGATTGCATATAAATGTTGAAAATGGTGTTTTCCTTTTGGTAATTTGCACATTTTTGAGCATTGTGATTTGTCTTGCCAACTTGATGTTTGACGGACTTGTTTTTTGTTTTTTCGTCCGTTTAAGTTGAAGAACAAAATGTACACTTCATTGGTTCCTCTATCCGGGAACTGTTCATTATATATCCCTGTTTTTGTTTTCCGGTTTTTTTTTTTAACATATTCGTTTTTGTTTGGAAAATGTCCAAAATTCATTGGGGAATGCTAGTCAAAATGAGAGCGGGCCTTGTTGCATTGGTATTTGCAATATTTTGCAACATTGTGAGCCGAGCCGCATCTTGATAGTCAGAAGTTTGTCTTCTACCCATATTCCTTTGTTATTGTTGTGTGTCTGCAAGGTTTTGAATGGTTGATATTTCCTTGGTTTTATACGTTTTTTGTTTTGACATATTCATGTTTAAATGAACAAATAGTAAAATTTGTTGGGAAATGCCAATGAAGATGAAAGATTATTGCCAAAGTACGTAGCATCACACATTTACGCAAATGTACTTGAAGGTTATTGCCACACCCCACCCCACCCCATCCTACCCCATCAGAGAAGTCCGAGTCCCTCGGGTATATATATATATATATATATGTGTGTGTGTTATATAAGGTTATATAGGTTATCTGAAATATGTGCCACATGATATGGCTATACTGCTATACTATATGTAGACAGTGGGGAAATCTAAGGTGTTTGAACTAGTGTGTTCACTAGATTGGCTGAAGGGACAATTGAAGACTAAGATGGAAACCAATGGTTTTGTTACCGTTGTTCCCAAGAAAGAGCTTTCCCCATGCTCCCCCCGCAAAATCAGAGCAATGAAAGGAAATGATACAATTTGCAAAGCGACCCTTTGAGAATCCATTCTTTTAAACCCTGCTAAAATTTTGATTAAAACCCCAAAACAGTTGCTTAAATCCCCATGAATATCCATGAATCATACAATCACGATGATCATTCGAAAAGTTGCATAGTGGTCAATAGTGGTTGGTGTTTTTCTTCGCCACGGTTTCAAAATTAAACAAAACTGTTCCTCACCCCCCAGGAACCTGCTGCAATGAGCGTAGGGCATTCAGGGCCAGCTGGGTGCAAAGCTGCCTGGGCCGTCTGAGGTCACCAATTGAAGTTGTTTCGTGGAAGGGCCCTGCGGCAACCTGCGGCTTCCAAGGGGCCCTGCCTTCGAACCCCCAGCTGTGCAAAGTAGTCCCCCAGGCCTGGAAAGAAGCGGCCTGCCACAGGGTGCAATCTTCTAGTTGGACTCTATGAGCCAAATCAGCATATGAAACGATATCAAACATCTCACTATCATCTACACCCGTGAGATTTCAAGATTTCGGAACCCAACTCTCAGGATGCGCTGAGAAATGCACCTTCCTGATCATCACATTTGATACAGTACATTTAATCTTTCAGAGGACTGAAGGCATCCAACATCCCATTAAATTCCCATTGTATATAGATATATATAATATATAATATATATAATTTATATACATATATATAATGGGAATTTATGATAAAAAATTTAGTTTCTCAACGTTTGTCCTGATTAAATCCCAAAGTTTACTGCTAACACCTCCAGCAAACTGCTGGGGATTTGCTGGGTAGATCCCCATTTTGAAGACGGCCCCTACTCAGACCCTCCAAGTACCCATCACATGAAAAGTGCTCAAAAGTCCCAAGGTCATGTTTTTGTGTTGTCATTTTTTTAGGGTCCCAGTGCATCCTTTTCTCCGTTGAACCGTTGCGTCTATGCCATGGACGGAACGCTCCGGCGTTCGTCTATCTGACGGAGTTCCAACTCCACCAAATCCTTGCGGGGAGGTTTAAGCATCAGTGGGAATTCTAACATTTAATGGGATTCACAGAGATATATGACAATATATGATAATATATGATAATATATGATATATATATATATATAATTTATATAATATATAGACTCTCAAGCAATGGGTGTTGTAACTGTTAAGTTGCTAAGTCGTTAGCTGCAGGGCCCAACATGTGTTTTGACTCAGTGCCCGAGGGTCTAGGATGCAACAAGTGTTTTGAAACTTGCCGACTAGGACTAAAACACATGTTTGGGAAATCCTTGGAAATCCAGTAAATCCAGCGGGTGTCAATCTAGACGTGCCCTTTTTCCCTACTTGTGCCACCCCTGGAGATTTGTCAGCAACAATTTCTCCGCAATTTTTCATTGAGTTTTAAAATTTCACCAAGTTTTTACCAAGGTTGTGACATTTCATCAGGTTGTCACCAGGTTGTGAAAATTCACAAGGTTTTCATCAAGTTTTCACCAGGTTTTCACGAGGCTTTTTCAAACAGTTTTTCACCAGGCTGCACTCGGTTTTCAAACAGATTTCGACCGCTTTTTTGACCAGATTTTCACCAAGTTTTCACCAGGTTTTTACCAGGTTTTGAAAATTCACCAAGTTTTTACCAAGTTTTCATTATGTTTTTACCGAGTTTTCACCAGGTTTTCACCAAGTCTTCGCCAGGTTTTCACCAGGTTTTCAAAATTCACCAGGTTTTCACCAAGTTTTCAGCGAGTTTTCACCAGGTTTTCAACAAGTTTTCACCAGGTTTTCACCAGGTTTTCACCAAGTTTTCAGCGAGTTTTCACCAAGTTTTCACCAAGTTTTCACCAGGTTTTCACCAAGTTTTCACCGAGTTTTCACCAGCTTTTCACCAAGTTTTCACCAGGTTTTCACCAAGTTTTCACCTGGTTTTGAAAATTCATCAGGTTTTCACCAGGTTTTGAAAATTCACCAAGTTTTCACCAGGTTTTGGTCCAATGAGATTTTCGATCCATTTTCACCATGAAAACACATAATTTTCACCAAAAAGTAGGCTCAAAACACTTCTTTTGGTGAATTTGGAACCTGTAAAACACTTCTTCGTGTTCACAACAAAGAAATCACCAGGTTTTCACCAAGTTTTGAAAATTCACCAGGTTTTCACCAAGTTTTGAAAATTCACCAGGTTTTCACCAAGTTTTGAACATTCACCAGGTTTTCACCAGGTCTGGAAATTTCACCAGGTTTTCACCAAGTTTTGAAAATTCACCTGGTTTTCACGCAGTAGCTATCTCCAAAGTTCATCGGATGTTCGTCAGTTATTTTACAGTCAGCCCGGTGTTCATTAAAATATGAATTTTGAAATGTCACCAGGTTTGCGCAAGGAGCGAAAAGACCAAGCGAGCGTCAAAAATGATAACATGTGACCTGGATGTGCTTCCAAAATATCATATCATATCAATATCAAATCCCATTGAGATGCTTATACTTATACTGACAATCTCAGTTTTTCATATCCAACCAAAAATATCTAATTAGTTATTGTACGGTGGAACTTCCTGATACCACATGGTATTCACATGTATTTACAAATCATATTGAGGTCAGTAAAGTCAGCTGCCTTCAGTGGCATGTATCCAGCATTGAACTAAACATGCAGCTGAGGGATATCTTAAACCATCTTGAACCCACTGCAGAGGCTGCAGCATCAACAAGTGTTTTTGCTCACCTAATTTTGGGCCAAAACACTTATATGTGTTTTACGACTCTTGGAGCGCTCCCAAAACACTTCTTTGGTTTTGATATACCGTCTCGGTCTGGACAACCCCAACTTAGCAACTTAACAGTTGTAACACGCATCTGGGTTATATAACCCTTATATAGTCTCACATGTTATGCATTTTATGTTTTTCTTTCAATGTGTTTCATCATTTTCACCATGTCACTATGTGACTTGGTGAATTCCCATGGGTTCCCATGATGCCCATAGCCCCAGGTTTCAGCTCGGCTTCCAGGTTTTTCAAGGGATAGTCTGTGACCTCGTGAGCGGGAAACGCCTTGATGATCAAGAGCGACAGAACCACCGTTTCGAGAAGGGTGAAGTAGCCTGGGAGTTGCGATGGATGGTGAAACAACGGAAAACTTGTCAAGTAGAAAACATGGCCGATTTCCAACCTCTTGAAAGATTAGGAGATAAGAGGTAGAGTCGCAAGTATAGGAATATGAATATGAAGTAATATGAATTGAGGCATTAACTGTTTTGTTTTCATTGTCAAGCCAAAACTTGACAATAGCCAATGAATGCCAATGAGACAGTTCGCGATACTTTACGGGTCCAGAAAGGGGTCCTGTGCTCTGTCCAGGGACAGGACCAGAAAGTGAGCAAGCGATGCATGTCTTCAGGATGCTCCTTACTGAGCAAGCACTTGGTAGTAAACAACCCCGTCGACGAGATGAGCCTTAGATCCATGAGGCTGGGAGCCTTGGTCTGACTGGGACCTGTTGCACCAACTCATATTGAATCTGGGTCCAAAAAACATGAGAATAACCAGGAATCACCACCATTAACATTAAACCACGTTTTCTTCGGGGTAGCCACTGGGGTGCCTGGGGTGCATCCTCAACGCCTAGGTGCCAAGACAAGAGCTTCCCCTGCAGGGTTGACACAACGATCACCACCTTCAAGGCTACAAACTTTCCTGGGGCCGTTGACCGGAAGATATGGTTTTGTCTATTTTTAGGGGTCTTCAAAACATTGCGGCATTTGATTGTTGGGGAAGATATGGGCTAGTCTCCGGGTGCATTTGCGTGCAGAAAAAAAACATCAACCAGACAATCGTTGCGATTGTGAT